TATATGTGTGTGTGTATATGAATCTGTGGATACAGAGGGCTGACAGTGGAGATTACCACATGGGGAAAAGTAGGGAAGAGAAGCGGATCGCTCTTGTGCTTATTGCCTGATTGCGTGAAGATTATCAGACGACATCACACTTCTCCCATCCTTCTCCCATCAGGGAAGTGGAATGGCTCTGTCACTTTGTATTAACAGAAACTCCCATTCATACAAAGTTACGGGGCCATTCCACTTCACTGATGGGAGAAGGATGGGAGAAGTGCGATAGGATAAGGATGGGAGCGATCTGTTCACTCCCCTGCTTTTCCCCATGTGATAATCTTGTGTGTGTGTATTGCCCTCAGAGGTCCCCTAGGGACATAGGGAACATTTTCATCATACCTTTGGGCCTTCCTGGGCCATTCGAGATCCAGGAAATACCTTTTTTACCAATAGGAAATGAGTAGAAGTCACTTCCAGTTTCAAAAGAGAGCCTCTCCTGAGACTAAGGGGGGTTGCAGACTGTCAGAAATAGTGCAAATTCAGTCCACTTTTAGGGTTAGGGTTAGAGCTAGGGAATCATGGGAATTGTTTTTTTTCTGAGACATTGAACCTTCTCTGTCAGAGAGCTCTAGTGCCACAATAAACTACAGTTCCCATGATTCCCTAACCCTAACCCTAAAAGTGGACTCAATTTGCACTATTTCTGGCAGTCTGCAACCCCCCTAAATTGGCCCAGGGAGGCAAAATGTGATAGAAATTCCTCCCATCTGGATACCCTGAATCTTGGATGAAGATGGAATGATAGCATCTGTGCCCTTTGGAAATGAGGGCCTCTCTTTCTCCTACGTGAGAAGAGATTCAGCTGTGCAAGAGAATTGAAGCGTATTTTGACTGTGCATTCACCTTGGAAGGTAGTACGGAGCTGAGCCTCTGAGAGAAGGAGTTGGAAAGGGCAGAGATGGATGAGACAACCTTGTTGAAAAATAGGTTCCAGTGTCACTGCTCCCATGTCTCCCTTCACCACCATCCCTCCTCTCATTGTCCAGTGAAGCAAAAAGGGCGGCAAAAATCAGCATCTTGTTTTCTTCCCGCAGTCCTTGCCATCCCAAATTTACCCAGCAAAGAGGTTGCCAGGCAACTGGCTTTATCATGGCAGCATGCATAAAGGCGCCAGGAGCCGACGTAGGCCCCATCCTTCGCCTCAACATGTCAATGCACATTCTGTTCTCACATCAGAGCACTCCTCCCACCCTTCGTCTCTTCCCTTTCCTAGAAACAGAGCTCAAGTGGAGTTCTCTGGGCAAAAAGCACGAGGGAGAAAAAAAGAAAAGAAAAACGTGTTCTGTACCTTCTGACAGTTTCTGTCTTAACAGGTGCCAGTGGCTTATGCTGCATTTATGCCCACGTCCTTCAAGCTGCAGAGAGATTTCTCACGTTTGTATCCTTAAATCAAATCTGTGGGCTAAATAATTGTTATCTATCTTTTACAGAGAAATATTTGAGACAGAGAGACAAGGAGCTGGTTCTTAAAGTCATGCCTCAATCCTAATCCAAGGCATTTTGATGGCTGAGGCAAATGGAAAGTTTCCACCCCACTCCAGTCTACATATGGAAGCAAACTGGATTGGGAGGTAAATTTAACTTCACCACTGGCAATGGAAAAAGTGCCTTTATCACCCTCAGATGCAACCGGCTAGTTTAAAGGGGTGCTGTGACTCTTTCAACAGAGGCAATTGACTTAGGAGTAATGATGGAGGATGCTGCTACCATTGCTGCTTCCCAGCATCTGCTGCCTGAGGTAATTGACTCACTTTGCCGAGTCTCCGTTTTCTGGAATTCCCAAATCCAAAATATTCCAAAAACATCTTAAATGGATGGCTGAGATCGACCTTTGGTTCCTGATGGTTCAATGTACACAAACTTTATCTCATGCACAAAATTATTACAAATATTGTACAAAATTATCTTCAGGCTATGTGTATAAGGTGAAAATGAAATATAGCCGTTTTGTGTTTCAACTTGGGTTTAAATACTTGGATATCTCCAAGATATCTCATGATGTACTTATATACAAATATAGGTATTCCAAAATCCCCCCAACTCACCTCTAGTCCCAAACATTTTGGATAGCAAAGATGCACCAGCCTTCATGGTAGAAGGAATGGTTGCATTCTCTCCTCTGCTACACACACACACACACACACACACACACACACACTTTTTTGTTTTTGAAATGTCCACTTAGAATAACAGCCTCTTCTTCACATTGCAAAAAATGGATAGACATATTGAGAAACCAAGTATTACCCTTCAAAATAACATTTTTTTGTTTCAAGGGAATTGCATTTGTTCTTGGGAAAATATAATTCTTCTTCCAGACAACAATGGCTATAGTGATAGTCAAAGGATGTAGTTGTTTCACAGTCATAAACATCTCTTGAAATTTGCTTCCACATGAATGATCATCCTCAATTCCTTCTCTCCTACAATAGACTGGTTTTTTTTCTTTTTCACTGAGAAGTGCCCTATTTCTCCCCCACACATACTCCACAAATGAGTAACAGAGAAAAACTCAAAGCAACAAACAAAGTAAATTGTTCCAGTACAAACTAAGGTCAAGCAATAATATGTCAAAATAAGGCAGGCAATACTGCCAACTATATACTGCAATCAGCTGTAGTTTTCAAACAGTATTCCTAGGAATCTTTTGACTCCACAGACAATCCAAAGAGGCCTTGAAACAAGAAGAACGGATGACAAGTAACACTGAAATGAAAGTTGTGTGCCATTACAAATCTTCTCCCAATAGTGCTCAGCCCTACAGAAGTGCTGGATTCACTGATACAGTGATAAATTTCAAACCTTAGGCACTCACCTTGGCAGTCCCCATTGTGAAATTTCAAAGAAGATTGTCTCTGCATACACATATAAGCAAATGCCAACATCTATTGTTGATCCATTAGAACAAACCAGGTCTATCAGTTTCCATATCTAGCAGGCCTTAGTTTGTAAAGGCAATGGATCTAGTTAATGGACCTATAGTGTCTGTTCCCCAAATGCTTTGCACTACCACAGGTGTAGCCAGAATTGGAGCACAGAGATGGAGGCGCAAGAGCAAAAATCAGAAATTGACACACACACACCCATGCCCTAGGAGGGCCTGGTCTTCTTTTCAGTGCCATTTGTTATTGTTGTGTGCCTTCAAGTAATTTCCGACTTATGGCGATGCTATCACAGGGTTTTGTTGGCAAGTTTTTTAACGGGGGTTTACCATTGTCATCCACTGAGACTGAAAGACTGTGACTTGCCCAAGGTCACACAATGGGTTTCCATGGTTGAGCAGGGATTTGAACCCTGGTCTCCCAGTGTCCTAGTCCAATGCTCAAACCCCTACACCATGCTGGAACATTTCACAGATGAACACTGAGAGACCTGTGGCCAGGCAACATCAAAATGTGGTCAGAATGTAGCTAGGAGAGGCTACAGCAGTTTGCTTTTGCCTATGGAGACTAGGGCTTGATTCCCAGCTTGGCCACAAAAATCAGTGTGTGACCTTGGGCAAGTCACATGCTCTCAGCCTTAGGCAATGGCAAACCTCCTCGGAACAAATCCTGCCAATAAAACCCATGATAGATTCACCTTAGGGTCGCCATAAGTTAGGAATAACCTGAAGGCACGCAACATTAACAACAACAGCAACTGGGTAAAGCAAGGTTCAGCCCTTTCCTCTCCTCTCTCTCTCCATTGAATTAATTCAGTACAAACTGATTTTGCACTTTGAACTGAGTTTGCAGTAACTGATGTAAGCTGAGGACATAGGGGCAACTGTGCGGGAAATAGAGAAACTGGTACATTTTAAAAGCAGTTGAAAAAGTGGGAGGAGAAAAGATTAATCAGGACTGTTCCTGCCCAAACCAAGACAGTTGATGCGTATACAGCACTAATGGATTCCTCCCTCCATTAACATGTATACTCTGCCTGCTGTGGAATGAGATGGAGAAGATGGTAGTGGCAGCGGTAGTAGCAGAGGCTCTAGCAGCTGCAGCACAGGTTATTTTTCTGTCACCCACCCTTTGTCTTTGGTGTGGTAGGCATTCTCTTTCTCAACAATATGCAACCGTAATCCTCATTTTCCCCTCTTCTTCTTTTCATGGCAGAGACTGGGGAGCAGGGCAGGTGGTCTAAGAGAACATGCACTGGAAGAATGTTGTACAAGGAAAAATAGGAACATGTGCATCAACTATCATCCTGCCCACTTTGGCTACCTTCTTCCAGAAGCTTATGGGGCGTTGCTGTTGTGTGCCTTCAAGTCTTTTCCAACTTATGGCAACCCTAAGGCAATCTTGCTGCATACTTTCTTGGCATGTTTCTTCAGAAGAGGTTTGCCATGGCCATCCTCTGAAGCTGAGAGAGTGTGACTTGCCCAAGGTCACTCAGTGGGTTTCATGGTCAAGACGGTATTCGAACCCTGGTCTCCAGAGTCATAGTCCGACATTCAAACCACTATACCATGTTGGCAGAGTCCTATGCTCAAACCACTACACCATCCTGGCTTAATCCAGTGCTCAAACCATTACTCCACGCTGGCATAGTTCAACACTCAAATCACTACACCGCACTGGCTGGAATATTGGCTAATAGTAAACTTAAGTAATCTTGGCTCTTCTTAGGGCACAGCCTTGGAAGAAGGTGAGGTATCAGTACCAATCGTTCGCTATGATCCAGCCTTTAGTTTAAATGTAAGCATGGAGACGGTGATGACAACATCTACCATTAATTTGTTTGTTAGAATTTATAAAGTAAGAACAGGTGACTAATTGAAAGCAAAGATCCAGTGGAGTGCAGGTGTGGTAGATCAAGGGTTTTCTATCCTATATAAAACCCAGACTTGGCCTTGGTGAGCTTATGGCAGGTCATACAGGCTGGCAAGGTGCTGCATTATTGGCTAGAGAGGAAGTGTACTCACTGTTGCTTCTCCAGGGATCCCAACAGCTGAACAGAGATGTAGATTTGTCCTGTGGGACTTATTTTCTCTAATTGCTTTTATAACATCTTGGGGATAGAAATGACTTTTATAACATCTAGAATATAAAAATTGCTTTTCTAACATTGAAAGATTTGGGCAGCTAAGTTAAAAAAAATCTGTACAGCCAGAGTCCCTTTCATACTGTAAAGTTATAACACTATAATTCCACTTTAATTGCCATGACTACATCATATGGAATCCTGGAGTTTTTAGTTTGGTGAGGTACTATAGGAGCTCCTTGGCTGAGAATGCTAAATGCCCCTCTCTAAACTTCAAATCCTGAAATTTCATAGGATACAATCATGGCAATTAAAGTGGCATTATACCACTATATTTGTGTAGTGTGAACGAATGTGTTCATTGTCTCTGGCAAGACAACAACCTAGGAAGCTTGCTCTTCTTAGACCAGCATAGCTCTGCCACTGGAGACAGGTTGCAATAATATATTATTCTTGGGACAATCCACCACCATCATTCCCTGCCACCATCTACTATATTTATTCTTGTCCATCAAAAAGTCCCAGCACATAGACCTTGTGAGCCCTGGTACCACTACAGCACTGGTTGGGATGCTCTCAACATTACAAATTCATGTGATAGGCATGCAGCCAAATGAATATATTTGGGGAAGCAGTATTATAAGAGATATCAAATATTTTCACAATTTTAGTTGTATTTTCACAATTAGCTCTCTTGCCCTGCTGAGTAAACAATTTGTTTTATTCAATAATGGTAGTCATGAGATTAGCCAGAGGGAGAGGGAAGGCTTGGACATATATATGACTAGTACCACCAGTTGTGAAGTACAGTCTTGCAACAAAAAAATGAGCAATTACAACAAGTGACTGGAAAATCAGGAAGAGGCAATTTTATTTCATTTTGGTATATGCTTATTGAATTTACAAACAATGGCTGGCATCCCATTGATTAGCCCTAACTAGAGTAGCATCCTTCCATCAGTTATTGAATGGTGAGTCAACGCATAGGTAAATCACATTAATTCTATGAGTCTACTTTATTCCGGACTAACAACAGCCAATGAAAGAGAATGGTCATGATATTCTTACATTGCCCAATTTTATTTTGAAGAAATTTTGAGTTTTTATATATGAGTTATGATGCTAAACAGCATGTTACAGTTAGTAAATACATGTTTAAGTGTCCTTATATTGTCCACTTTTATTTTGAAAAAGTGTCAGTTTTTTATATATTGCTATTGTTGGGTTTCCATGGCTGAATGGGGATTCAAATCCTGGTCTCCCCGAGTCCTAGGCTGCTGCCACATTGCAGAACTAATGCAGTTTGACCCTACTTTAACTGTCATGGCTCCATGTTATGGACTCCTGGGATTTGTAGTATATTGTGGCACCAGAGCTCTCTGACAGAGAAGACTAAATAGCTCACAAAACTACAAATCCTAGAATTCCTTAGCATTGAGCCATGACAGTTAAAGCAGTGTCATATTGCATTAATTCTGCAATGTAGGTGCAGCCCTAATCCTGCATTCAAACCACTACACCATTCTGGATCTTTATAAATGATAAATTACATGTCACACTTAGAGAGTACATGTAAATATCCTTATATTGGCCACTTTTATTTTGAAGAAAAAAATAGTCACAGAGCTTTGATATTCTACCAAACATCACACAGAGAGCACTACCTGCTATTTACTCCCTCAAAGCAGGGTTTGCAATTCTTGGGGTGCATCTGTTTTTGGTACTGTACTGGCCACTTTCCAGATACATGATAGAAAGTGTGCACATATGTGTCAGACATTTACATGTCCAGATTTCTTGTGACGAAAGAATACAAATACAAATATTGAATTCTGTATGCGTTCCCTGTAATCTATATTTGCTTATATTTAGTGGCATGGTAAACTGGTGTCTCTTACATAAAATGGCAAAATCAAGATTTGCTTTTTGGATTTATTTATTTAATATTTTCAAGCCACGGATGGGTCAATCTTTGGATGCAGAATCTGTGACACAGAGGACTGACTATAGTCTGGGTGTTCAAATTGGTTCAAATTGAACACAAGAATGCAAGTAAACACCCAAAGACTTCAGCGAGTCCTCTGTGTCCACTGATTCTGCATCCAAAGATTGAACTAACCATCCATAGCTTGAAAATATATATTTTTAAATATCCAAAAAGCAATCCTTGATTTTGTCATTTTATGTAAGGGACACTATTTTACCATGCCACTGTATATAATAGTCATGGATTTTGGTATTCATTGGGGGGGGGTGTCCTGGAATCAAACCCCAGCAGATACCAAGGACCTACTGTTTATATTCTTCCTCCAACAAACAGTGCATGGTCAGAGCTCCCAGCATAATTTTACAATCCCCACCATGCTACTTTATTTCAGTGTCTCAGCAATGTAGTTTGGGATGGGGATCATAGCTAGTTGCCACCAGCCCCAGGCTATTGACCACATATCTTCCCATCATTACTGCCTACTCGAAGGCAATTCTTACTATTAGTTCAATAAGAAACGGAACAAAATCCTCCTAAAAAGTCATCTTATGTATCCAAAATATTTGAAAAAATACAATTTCATATCCTTCAGTCCAAAGAAAAAGGAAAAACAGGGGGGGCGGAGAGAGAGAACAACCCTTACATGTTAAAAAGAAAGGAAGAGTTATTTACAAGTCTCTTTCATCCTTTTTCAGTTTGTTGGATTCTGGATCTGCAGATTGAAGCTCAGCTGTTCAAGGGAAGGTCACCTGCTGTCACAGATCTGTGAAAAAAGACAGGGAGGATGGGAGGGTGCCTGCTTTTAACTCTGAGCTTCCCAGGGCTGAAGAAGAAGTCAGGCTTGTTCAATGCTGAAGATTTCAGTTGAAGAGCAACACTACAAAAAAGATAGGAGGAAAAATTTACTTGCTTGTCTGGAAGCACAGAGAGTCTTTGCATGATGGCACTCTGAAAAAAAAGCAGGTTACTCTGCCTATGTTCAGAGGTACATATCTCACCATTAAGCTTGTGGGTGCAAACACACATGGTCAAGAGATGGGCCAAAGTTGTTTCAGATACAGAAGGGGCCTTTTTGAGATAAAAGATCAGAGTAGTATAGGCATGTTCCATTTTTTCTTAAGCTTCGAAGACTGGATCTTTCCTGCTCAGACTAATTTGGAGACACATTTGTTGTTGTTGTTGTTAACTGCCTTCGTGTCAGTCTCGACCCATGGTGACCCTATGGGTGAGACATCTCCAGGCCCCTCTGTCCTCACTGCTCTGCCCAGCTCCGGCAAACTCATATCTGTAGTCTCTTTAAAAAAATCCATCCATCTAGTGTGTGGCCTTCCTCTCTTTCTACTTCCCTCCACCTTTCCTAATATTATTGTCTTTTCCAACCATTCATGCCTTCTCATGATGTGTCCAAAGTATGATAGTCTAAGTCTTGTCATCTTGGTTTCCAGGGAGGTTTCCGACTTGATCTGCTCTAGGAGCCATTTGTTTGTCCTTTTGGCTGTCCATGGGATCCTCAGAACTCTTCTCCAGCACCACATCTCAGATACATTGATTTTCTTCCTATCATCTTTCTTAATTGTCCAGCTGTCACATCCATACATGGTAATAGGGAATACAATGGCTTGTATGATTCCGACTTTTGTGCTGAGTTGTATGTCTTTGCATTTTAAGATCTTTTCTAGTTCTTTCCTAGCTGCCCTCCCCATTCTTAATCTTCATCTGATTTACTGGCTGCAGTCCTCGTTCCAATCAATGTTTGATACGCATTTCTAAATACACAAATAAGCCCTACACATCTCTTAGATTCTAGGACCTATAAAAACCCAGGGCATTTTTTGTGCACTTGCTTGCCTGTCACTTGTGCCTCTCTGTGCGCGTCACACCATTTCTCCCCTCTCCGCCCCTGTGCTGGAAGCTCTTTCCATCTGCATGGATGCTCTCACCTACTCAGCCATGATAGGGAAGATTTTATGAGCCAGCCAGTAATGGGCTAAGGGCAGCTTTCAAATAATCCATGCAAACTGTGCAACACAGACACACACACTTCTGATAAATAGCTACTGCTTAAATACTGGCTCTTGATAATAATCAGCCAGCTCTACAGAATCCTTAAGCACCCCTTCCATTGTATATTGAAAGCAATTCTATATGTTTTATTCTCATGCTACACAGTTTATTTCTAGCATCAAGACCAGCCCTGTAAGGTAGTGAGCTGCTAAGGCAAGCTTTCCAATCCTGGTACTCTCCATACATATTGGACATCCACAAGACGTTGGGGATTATGGGTGTTACAGTCCAAGACCTCAGGAAGGGACCAACTTGAGAAAGACTGCATTAGTGTATTTTTAAAAAGATCATGGGAACTTATTTCCCTTATTAATCTGTGACAGTAGCCAGCCTCTAAAACCATCAGGGGGCAGAGCAAGACATTGTTGCATCCACTCCCTGCCCTGTAGCTTCTCACCAAAAATTTCTAGCACTTTTTGTAATTTGTGTAAATTAAGCAAAT